CTACCAAGACAAGGAAGACGCAGCAAGCAAGAGAGAGAAGCAGGGGACATACTGATTGATCGCAGCGGTGGGAGCTCCCGGTCCGACATCCGCCCTGCCGGCAGCGACGAAGACGACGATCGGTCGGCCCTCTTCGTCCCCTTCCACTTCCAGGGCACGAAGGGGAGGCAGGCGGAAGGAATAATAAGCAAAGCCGAGGCCGAGAGCGAGAGGGAGGGAGGCAGGAATGTTACTACAGAAAGTGGCGGGTTGAGGGGGGGATGGGCGTGGAATCGGATTCACTTTTCAGCAGGCCGGCTTTCTCCTCCTCGTCCCGCCGGGGCTGGCCGGGTGGAGGCTAGGCCTCGCCGCCGCCGCGTCCCATCGAGCCCACCGACGGCCGACGCCCCCTCCCTCCGCCCCGGCCCCCGCGGCTGCTTTCCCGCCACAAATAACCGGGGGCCTCCTATAATCTAATTAAATCCTCTTTAGAGCGAGCGGCGCTTTTTGGCGTTCCCCTCCTTGAGAACCGCTCGACCAAGTGAAATGAGACTCCTGCCGAACTCGAAACGAAAGCACAATCATCTCGTGCGACGAACGGGACAGCACGTGAATGAAAATGAACCTGACCATTCGTGCTGTCAGACGCAAGCCGTGGTAGCCAGTCCTTTTTTTCCCTCTCATGCATCCTTTCATGTCGGCCCTGGCCCCTGGCCATGTCAGTGTGTCATTATCTCGGCGAGGCCTCTGGATCCTTTCACGCATCAACAGCCGATAATCAATGACAGGACAAAAGGAACCCAACTCACCTGGATGAGCAACCAGCAGGATTATCGTGAACAAATAAATAAAGCTCCTTGATGAGGAGTTGAGCCTCCCTGAAGAACGAAATTTGCTTCACAGGACCATGGAGCCCACATGTCAGTGAGCATGCAGAGGGTCGTCGTATTATCGACAAAAGAGAACAAACGGTTGCTTCACTGAAAGAGAGGAGCATCTCGTAACAAGGCAGGCTATATATACATTGTACAGTGCCATGAGAAGGCGGCAAAGAGGGGGAAAATGCCCTACATCACCCCACCGAGCAGGGGGGGACGAAGCACTAGTCTCTTTCAACTTTTACTTAACCCAAACCCAAAGGAAGCAGCAGCCACGGCGCCAGAGCGGAAGCAGACCCAAGGAAAAGAGAAACAAGAAAGAGGAGATGTACAGATCCTACTGATGATGATGATGAACCAGGCCCCAAAACCCTGCCTGCCTGCTAGGCTAGCACTGGTAGAGGGAGAAGCCCCGGTTCTTCCACAGCGAGCTCAGCGTCCGCCCCAGCTTCCTCGACTTGGACTTGCACAGCGGCTTCGACTCCCGGTGACACACCATCACCCCGCCGCCGTTCCCGTTCCCGTTCCCGGCCTCCGACGACGGGGCCTGCTGCTGCTGCTGCTGAGACGCGGGCGGTTGCCCACCGTCACGCTGCCGCTGCTCCCGGAACAGCTTCAGCAGCTTCTGGGCCTTCTCCCGCCCCCGCCCCGTGCCGGTCGCCGAGATGGAGACCAGCGACGGCACCACGCCCTCCTGCAGCACTGGCGCGATGCACTTGTCGTCCGCCGTGCACATCGCCAGGAGGCACGACACCGCCTGCTCCTGCTCCGTCGGCTCCCCCGTGTCCAGCAGCATCGCCAGCGTGCTCACCAGCCCCGGGGTGGACATCATCTCCTTCCTGCCGGCCTGGGTCGCCGCCAGGCTGATGGCCACTGCCAGGGCCTTCTCCGTCCACCCGATGCCCTCGGACACCGAGGAGTCCGTCAGGAGCGTGTGGAGCACATCCACGATGCCGGCCGACAGGAGCGACGGGATGCTGGCCTGGTGGGTGGAGAGGTTGTACAGCGTGTAGAGAGCATCATGCTTGCAGGAGCTGGCTTTCGGGTCGCAGGCGTCGTGGTTGTACAGACGGTCCACTAGGAATGACACGGCCTGGGTGGAAGCAATCACGCTCTTCGCGTCGGTGAGGCAGGAAAGGTTAAGGTAGAGCGCTGTGGCTGCAGCAGCTAGGCGCGGATTCGAGGTCATCTGCTCAAGTAGTTCGACTATTCCAGCAGACAACAGAAGTCCCTTGTTTCTGAAACAAACAAGAATGGTTTTTGGTAAGTAAAAAATGGAAATTCAAAAGTTCAAGGTCAACTAGCTGCAAATGACAAGCACCATTTAACTGAAAAATACATGTCATACCTATTATTATTGACTGCAAGGTTGAAAAGAGCCATGGCACCAACTTCTTGTGCCTTCTCATTTCCTTCTTCCACAGAATACCTTAAGAACTGAACTAGAGCCTCAGCGAACCCATTTGAGCCCATCTGGATCCTTGCTTCCTCATCGTCTTTCAGCAGATATCTTATCTGCTCAACCAATCTGCACTGGCTCAGTATGTTGTTTCTTTCATTAAGCACCAGCAGCAAGTTCCGATACCCCTCATTCATATCAAACTCAAAACAAGAGCTATCATCCAATGTGCCTGACTCGCTGTTTGCAGGTTCTTCTTTTCTCTCGTTCTCCAGGGGAACCACCTTGACACCCTTGATGTTGCTAGTGTCAAAACTATCAACAGACACACAGCCCGTTGCCTGGGAGTCCGATAAAGCAAGCCTCCAATTTACATCAAAGGATCCCGGTGGACCATCTGGAACTGGAAAATCATTCTGCTCACACCAGCTGGAAATCATGGCCTTAACACAGTAGTTTGGAGTCAAAGACAAGTGGGCCAGTTGTTGCTGAGTCTTGGGACATGTGCTGTGACCATCATTAAACCATTTCTCAATGCAAACACGCTCATAAGTCTGACCAGACGAAACAATAACTGGGTCATACATCAGCTGCAAGGAAATGGGACATCTGAGTTCCTCAGGAGGGATCGACATGTTTTCGGACCTTGGACCACTAGGCCTACAATTGAATGATCCAAGCCTCGAATTGAAAGACCCAAACCTCGAATTAAATGATTGAATGCTCGAAAGCTGTCTACTGAATGCTCGGCTATTTCCGCAGGGGCCATACATGTCATCCATGCCTAATACTGTAGGTGAACATGGGGCTGATCCTTGAGAATCAGTATCATCGCCTGCTTCACTTCTGAAAAATTTAGAGTATTTCCTCATGAGATTGTATAGGTAGGACACAACAAACTCCTTCCGCTTATCATCTCCAGAACGAGCCTTTTCAATTAGCTTCTTGAGGGCTCTTCGCTCAGTCAATGCTGCCCTGGAAGAAGTAATTCCCAGCTTCAGAGCAGCCATATGAAAGACCTCAAGCTCCCCACTATCGCTGGAACTGTTCATTTTATTGTTTCTCTGGAGCAAATTGATCACCTCATCACCAGCTTCCTTCTCTGATTGATCCAATGTAAATACAACCTCCTCCAACTCACCAATGATCTCTACAATCTGTTGCGCACAGACAGTGTCAGAATGTCAGGACATACCATGCAAATTTACTAAATGGTTTAACCATAAACAACTGGTGCATAATGTGGGATTGGTAGTCCAAGGAAACCAAACAGAAGCACAATTTAGTTGTGCTAATTAGAATTTTACACAACATACCTTATGGCCAATATCTTCGGTTACTATGCTTTCGACACGCCGTAGACTTTCCTGAAGTTGGCTTCTTGATTTCTCAAACTTCAAATGCACAGTTTCTGCAGTGATGGCCTGAAAGTGAATATTATCAGTGCAATAGTTTGGCATTTTATTTATCCTAAAGACACAAATATTGAAAAGCAATGCTGCAAATGCCCCATGGCAGGTTTGCAACTAATTATATCAAGAGTGCTCTGCAGGGAGGGGTACAACATCTTACCAAGTACAACCGGCTGCAATCTGCACAATGTTGAAGAAGACCTTTGGATTTATCCAGAGCTACATGCAGTGAACAAAGTGCCTGTATGCCAGACTTGCTTCTGGGCCTTGATGCTTCGATGAACGGGAAAATCGCTAGAAGTTTAGAAACCGCAGGATGAAATGCTCTGCACATTCCAGCGTGTAACTGCAAAAACCACAATTTCTTCAGATTAGGCACCCATACACAAATCCCCCCAAAAAGGAGAAGCTACAAGGTTCCAGTAATTTGTAACTGCTTTATACAGTACAAAGCTGTTAAATACCCACCCTGTAGAAGTAAAATGGAATTAAGAGTGCTGCTATACTAAGATGTAAGTTTAGAAAGCAAACCCAAATAGATCTCATTAATCAACAAAAACAGTACTCTTAACTACAAATAATTGCAGACCACTTATAGCTTGAACAACAGATATTATCATTGGAAATCAAGATAAAACCACAGTTAAGATGATACCTTGGCATCAATAGCCAGAAGAGGACCCTCCTCGACCTCCATTGCGTCCATGCTTGACTATCTCCTAAGCTCCACCATCTGATTGCAAGATTCAGAAGGGAAAAAAAAGTCAGATCGGCAGATCACATCACTCTCAGTTGCAAGAATTTCAGACCGGTGAAAACAACAGGCCTGGACTTGGGAGCATAGGACAAAGCAACGCTCCCGGAACCAGTACGAAAAAAGGGGATAGGAATGGTAAAAAATCTACCGGCTGCAAGCCTACAACACAGTGTTCTCCAGGAGGCACCTTTCGGAAAACCACCAGCTGAGCACGACCTTTCCATGCTAAATTTGAGACGCGCGGAGCTTCCTGGAGCCCATGATTTTGACCAAGCTCGCCTCTTTTCCCAGCAAATCCAAGGGGCCACGGGCGCTGCCGGTCAGCCAGAGCCGCGCATTTCGCTCACCGCGTCACCCCAAGAAAACCCAAAAGAAATTAAGATGAGGTCGGCAGCCTGTTCAAGTTTCTCTCGGCCTGACAAGCAGTGTGGGATTTAAAGCAGTTTCCTCCGGAGTGGGCAAGGCCGGCCACAGGATAAGGAGCGCTCTGAAACATCGTTTTCAGCTCCGCAAATCTGCCATTCGGGCTCCGTTTCTCAAATGAAATGCCAGAAATCCATCGGAAGGAGACTTTTCCTCGCGTGAACCTGGCATGGTGAAGCCGCACGAACACGGCAGGCTCCCTCCCCGGAGATCCCCAATGGCGGAGCTCGCTCAGGAAAAGAGGAGCAGGGAAACACACACAGGCAGCTCAGACCACCCCCAAGGTCACATCCCGCCCCGGCGAAGCTCACTCTAAGCCCTAATCTCTCGGACCGGGCAGCGGGCAAAGGAAAAAAAGGCGAGCAGCGATCCATGGCGGCGAAGAGACGAGCCGAAATAAAGACGCACCGTCTCGAGCGAAGAGGGCGGGAGGGAATGCCTCGCGAGGGCCGCTGCGGCGGACGGGTCTCTCCCCGTGGGTGTCTCCGACGGTCGCCGGCGGCGGCTGCGGCGGACGGCGTGGCGAGGGAAGAGGCGAGAGGAGGAGGAGGGGGGAAGGGGAGGAGAGGAATAATGCAGAGCGGGGGGGCGTTGGAGTGGTGGATTTTATTCAGATGTCAGGGGCAGGGGGGCAGCGAAAGAAAAAAAAAAGAGGAGAATGGGATATGCCACATGCCCACATCTTCTCTTCTCTGGGGCTTTCATTTAATTTATAGCTAATTAAATGCTTTATTTTTTGAGGGGTAATTAAATGGTTTATTAGTGGAAATAATACGGTTGAAGCTTTCCTGTTTATTCATTTCGCATATTTATTATGCTCTTAATGGAGCCTGGATAAGATATTTATAATCATCAGTATAAATATAAGCTTGATTGTTAGTTTTGCCCGATATGAGAGATGTGGACGTCTGGTGGTTGGTTAGTGTGCGTGTGTTGGCTCACAAGTGTGCCTTGTAAAAAATTTAAAATAAATTTCGTGCTGAAACTTTGGGGGTTGGGTGCCCCCCCTTTTCTGGGTGTGTGTGTGTGTGTGTGTGTGTTTTCTTTCCTTAGATTATGGGAGTTTTGGATATGCCTTTGTCTTGTTTATCTCGAAGGCAAAATCATGGAGTGCAAGCAACCATATTTTTATTGTTGAGATGATTTGCAACAGCAAACCGTACTGGGATAACCATAACTAATACTAGTGTGTATTTGTAGAATTTCATGTGAATATAGTTATCAATAATTGCACCAAAAAGTACATGCCTTTCTTTCTATTTATATTGACATATGAGATTCCCATAAAAAGATTGATGAGGGGTTTATTTCGGCTCTTGGTTTCCTCTTGATTAGGGTCCGTGTAGCTAAGATATCTTTATGAAGACATGTCAAATACATGTAGTAGGAAAATATCCCAATCGAAACGAGATGACTTGGATGGCATGTCGTCCCGTCGAGTTTCTTTCTCCTGCCATTTCCCTTGTCATGCATGACACCGATATTCAAACAACCAGCTTGGTCAAAACTGCTGTCATGTTTCCATCTCCTTTTTTTACCTCAATAAAGAAGAAGAAAAATAAACACATATTCGTTTATGCTCCCTCAGTAAATGAATATAAAAGCATTTATATCACTAAAATAGTAATCCAAATGCTCTTATATTAGTTTACGGAGGGAGTATCAGTAATGTGGTTTGCATGCAAGTAGAAGGCAGTTTCTGCTGTGATGGCTCGGCGCAAGTTGTAGGGCAAGCAACACGCATGATTGTGTCACGCCCCAAAGCACAAGCCCAACTTGCCTTGTGCCCAAAAGTTGCCACCCTCCATGGCATGGCATTGGCACCTATCTTGTCTCTAAACAATGTGTCCATCCAGTGGTGATGGAGCAGCACAGCAGCAGACTACTAATTTCGACCCCAGATTTAACAAGTGAAACCGAGATCGACACAGAGATCTAGTAGTAGCTAGTGCCAGCATAGTGCCCACCTCTCCAAGTTGGGGCCTTTTTGTATGGGGATCTTTGATTCCCATCAGATGCCGAGCCCCAGACAGGGGGAAATAAAGAAACCGATCTTGACCTGCCGATTAGATTAATATCATGCACTAACCAGGCAATTAATCCAAGGAAACATTAATCTGGTTGATTAAATGTGTGTCTGAGTGGCCCCTCCACTGGCCGGTGATTCCATGCGCTCCGCTTTGGGAATTTTTTAAATCCGTCCGAGTTAGATCAGCCCTTGCTTTCGAGCTGATCCTGGATCGATGCGCGCAGGCGCAGATCGAATCATCGCGTCGCCCCGACCTGATTTGAATCCGTATTTAACTTGTCGTTAGAAAAAGGGCGCCGGTATGTGGTGGCCAGGAGCTTGTGTATGTTTTTCTTTTTCCTGGATTATTATGAGATGGGATTTGGCTTTTGGCGACAGGCGCTTGGAGGCAGGGACGAGCGTGTCGAGGAATTATTAGGGAACTTTTTATTTGGTTATGAAAGCAGAGAATGTGGAGAAAGGCTTAGAGCAACTCTAGCAGACCCCGCATCCCGCCTCGGCCCGCAAAATAACCGTCAAATTGCGGGTCGGGGACGAAAAATCCGCACGATCAGACCCGCATCCCGTCCCGGTCCGTAGAATTTTTTGCGGGACGCGGTAAATTTTCTCCCCCAACCTCTATCTTCACGGGTTGGGAGACCGACACGAGCTGAGCACCTATCCGGCGCGAGATTTGGCGGGAGGGACATTTTCGCACGCCCTTTCCCGCTTCCCGCACCCTCCGCCACCATTGCCCCCCCTCCGCAAACTCCGGTTCCTCCTCCCCGGCCGTTCCTCGCCGCCATGAACGACCCCATGCTGTCCCCCGTCACCGTCGAGGTCGCGCATGCTCCCTCTCCTCGGGGCGGATCTCGTCGCCGGCCATGTTGCCCCCGCCGCCGTCGCCCAAGCACGCGCTGCGCCAGCCCGCAAGCGGCTGGGCAACGTGGTCGTGCAGGGCGGGAATCCGGTTGCCCCCGCCGCGACGACCTGCGCTCCGGGCGCCAACGCCGCAGTGCGATCCCGGACGGCGGCGGAGAATGCCGGCAAGACCGCGGGCGTTAAGCGGAGGAAGGTTCCGGCTAAAAGGAAGCCACCTTCTTCAACCTCTCACCCCCCCCTCGCGCGCAAGGAGGTGCTCCGCGATGCCATTCAACAGTGCGCTCCCCCCGCGAGCGAGGTGTTCGACGAAATGGCCGCAAGGTATGCCTCTTCGGTCTTGGTGATTCCCTTTCATTTTTCGCCATTAGTCTCGATAGCTCGTTATAGTTATCGTTGGCTATAGCGGTGGTTCGAACAATGGAACAACCGAGTTTGTGAACTTGTTGGACACGAACGCGGTTGACATTGATCAAGCCCTTTCGAACCATTCGACTATAATGAAACGGACGGCGACGTGGATGATCATCGTTGTGCGGACGAATTGGAGGAGATCGAAGCGGAAGCGTTTGAGGAATCGCAAGCAAAGAGTGGGAAAAAGCCAAAGATCGAATAACTACACGATCTTGGAAGATCAAGCTTTGATCCAAGCATGGAGTGCGGTGTCTCTTGATCCATGCACAGGTGTTTCTCAAACCGCCAAGAGATATTGGCAAAGGATCGAAGATCAATACTTCCGCATTATGAAAAAGTATCCCAATAAGACTCCACGCACATTTCGGTCGCTTCAAGGGCGTTGGGAGAATATCAAGCCTATGTGAAGATCGACCCCCAAGATGATGCCGGACATGGGCGCAAACCTTTTGCATGCCCTCTTTTGCGTAATGAACTTTGCTTTTATTTGCGCACAAACTGTTTATGTCGTTTGAATTTGAATTTCTTGTCAAACCCTATGTCAAATGCGAGATTTGCAGTTTTTTTGTTTGCGGGTCTTCGCGGTGGTGCCCGAGCAGAACCCGTAGAAGCCGACCCGTAAAAACGCATATTCCACGAATATTTTTTTTACGGATCCGTTTGGGGATCTGCAACTGAGCCAGCCCGTGCCGGCCCGCAAAAGTGATTTTGCGCAAACTGTAAACGAGTTTTACGGGGCGGTGAGATGCGGGGTCTGCTAGAGTTGCTCTTACTTGCTTGCTGCTGGGTGCGATGGTCGTGGTTCCATGGACTGCACTACACTGACGGAAAGAAAAAGAAAAGAGGGGAGGATAATTGACCACTCATTCTGCAATTTGCATGATGTAAATTGCCCACCCAGCGCATTGTTATATGTGAGCTAGCCGGTCTGTCTCATCTCATGACCCAGCTGGTGTTCATTCCTACGCTTTCATCTTTACTTTACCTTTTCTTTTCTTTTTTACTTTTCAAAGTGCTGGATGTTTCTGCGCCAACAGCAATCTTGATGCGAGCAATACATACCGTCCATTAATAGTGCTCTTCGTTTTTTGATTTGTAAAACGCTGTCCATTAGTTAGTCACGGTTATTTTTCTTACTTTCTTTTTTGATTGACAAAATACTCCTAGCTGTTGTCAGAAACCCTGGGTCTTTGTGTGTGTGCCAGCGTTGCATTGGCCGGCGCAT